CAAATTATTTGTATTCATAAATTTGTATTCTGTTTTGTATATCCTCAGAACCCTATACCTTCCTTGGGCTTGAGAAGGTAAAAACCCTGAACCTTCAAAGGAACGCCATTTCCGTCATATCCCAGCATGCATTCCGTGGCCTGCCACTCCTTCGCAGGTTGAAGTTGGACATGAACCATCTGCGTTCGGTGCCCGTCGACGCACTCCTGCCACTTACAGCACTGAAGGTTGCAAGCCTGAAAACAAACTACATCACCACGATGACAGCCAAGTCCTGCGGCTAAGTCACATCCAGGCGCTACGGCTTATGCTAGCAAAAAACCAGCTGAAATGTGACGCCAGTCTCACCTGGTTCATCTGTCATCTGCCAGAGTTGAATCACATCATTGGCCATGACATCCTGAAGTGTGCATCACCTGCCGACCTGAGCGGAATTCTGCTTGCCACCCTGAGGAAGGAGATCGGTCAGACCAACACGGGCTGGTCACCACAGGACATCAGATCGGGGAGATGTGATGAAATGTCCACCACAACAGGTCCGCATACCACCCACACCAGTCTGCAGAACAACACTGTTCCCACAGAGATGCCGCACACAAACACCACCCCATACACAAACACCACCCCAGGCTCAGATTACCAGGCTACAACAAGCCAGGCTACAACCGGGACTGACATTGTCATTCTTCTAGGTGTTGGCCCAATCCTCCCTGAGGACAGTTACCACGTCATCATGACTGTTGCTGTCATCACGGCTGTTGCTGTCGCCCCTTCTGATGGTGTTGGCATTGGGGGTTGCCGTCTACTTGTACGAATGCTGTCACGGCACAGGTCTGGCCCCTCACAACGCCCCTGCTGAAACAGATGGAAACTCCGCCCCTTCTTCGGACAGAGACTCAGTCACAGGCAGACAACCGAATCCTGTTGAGGACCAGACATCAGAGGGCAACAATGACATTGAGCCGTATGCTGTGTCATACATGGATGTGTCAGAACAGGGGGAAAACGCAACAACTTCCTTTGCTAACATCCAGCCAACGGAACCAAACAACGATGACATTGAGCCGTACGCTGTGTCATACATGGATGTGTCGGGGAAAGGGGAAAACGGCAAGCTTGCACCATACGCAACAACTTCCTTTGCTAACATCCAGCCAACGGAACCAGACAACGATGACATCCAGTCAATGGAAGACACCGATGACATTGAGCCATACGCTGTGTCATACATGGATGTGTCTGGGAAAGGGGAAAATGGCAAGCTTGCACCATATGCAACAACCTTCATTAATGAAGACCCAGGGCCACAGCTTCAACCATATTCAGTTTCCCACAATGAAGACCCAGGGCCACAGCTTCAGCCATATGCAGTTTCCCATGATGAAGACCCAGGGCCACAGCTTCAGCCATATTCAGTTTCCCATGACGAAGACCCAGGGCCACAGCTTCAGCCATGCGTAGTGACCCATGATGAAGACCCAGGGCCACAGCTTCAGCCATACGCAGTGACCCACGATGAAGACCCAGTGCCACAGCTTCAGCCATATTCAGTGACCCACAATGAAGACCCAGGGCCACACTTTGAACAGACAGCTAATGATTCCTCCCAGAAGTAGTTTTGAGATTTATTGATTTTGATGCATTTTTCCTTATCTGAAATAACATTTCGTGGTTCACAATACAAAAAGTACAAGTTGCATGCCCAAGGGGTATTATGCAATGTTATTTGTCATGTTGTTGTGTCTTGGACTTAGAAGTGTGACAATAATAATGATGAGTGTTGAAAAATGTCAGACTGTATATTAAGTAAAATGTACAAAAATATTGAACAACACTGAGTTATATGAGAGTCTTTATTAATGTTTCATCAACAATTAACAACTTATTACATTGTATTTGTAGCTGATTATAATATTATAATGACAATGCTTTCAGGGCTGCAGATACTTTCTTCTGAATACCTGCACTGGTGCAGTCTGTAGAGTAGCAAAGGAGTCCCACTCAACTGTCATACCGTCAATATTGTGAATATTAATATTGGTTATATGAATAAAGAAGCAAAACCAGACAGATAACCATGTTTTCCTTCACCTTCAGAGGCTTCTGGTCTGGCCTAGTCTCTCCCAGACTAACTATGCTGGCTATATATAGGAGAATAATTGCCCTGCGCTGGCTACATACATGTATAGGAGAATAATTGGCAGAGGAGTTTGGCCGCCTTGTAGGTTTGACAGGCCGCACAGTAGTCGGAGGGAAAGAAACTACCTCCCCGCGGCCAGACTCCCTTGGCCAATTTTACTCTCTTTTTTGCCAAATTCTACGGTCCGTATTCCCATAGAAAGACCTGGTGGAGGCTAGGTCTGGCCCAACAAACTGCTCTGTTTATTCTTACTTAAATACATTCATACGACTGTATGGTGAGCAGCCTGTCCAACTCAGTTCTGCTACATTAAGTAAATATAACCAAACACTACAGGATGTCTGTTACAGCACCAGTTACCATGGTAACAGATGTCTGTTCGAGGTCATTGACTTTATTTGATAGCAGCTGCTGCAAATCTCATGTTGCAGCCAGAGGCTGAAATGAGTGGAATTACAATTTATACCTTAACAAACATGTTGGACCAAGATTTATACTAAATTTAACTACATTATTTACTACAAACAACTACATGTATTACTAAATTAAATTACTAGACCCACTGTTAGTAAAACATGCATGTTTCACGAAAACGAATTTTTCATTCGTATTAGAAGTGACAATCCATTGTCTACAAAAGCCTGGTTTAGGTCAGCTGAGTAGAGGCATTTGTAAGACTAGAAAGGTAACATTTTTCAAAACAAATGCATAATGTTTACCTCCCCAAATGGTCTGCTCTGTAAATTCTTACTCAAACACATTCATGCATATGGTCAGACAGGAGTCTAAATCCCTCCTGCTAAAAAATTGCAACATGATGTAACACAACACTAGTTACCATGATGGTAAAAGAGGTCTGGTCATTGATATTATTGGTTTGGAGAAGAAGAATAAGAGGAAACATAGCAAAAACAATGTTTTCCTTTGGTGAACTTAATAAACTTACTATTTCCTTTGAATTTATTTACTAGAACCCGGGCTATGCGGGTCGTCAGGAGCTGCCGGAGAACTTGAAGATCAACTTCCGGACCGTGGCCATGATGGTGCCCGACCGACAGATCATCATCCGTGTCAAACTGGCCTCCTGTGGCTTCCTGGAGAACATCCTCCTGGCCAGGAAGTTCTACACACTCTACAAACTGTGTGAGGAGCAGCTCACTAAACAGGTCAGGGTTACATATAGAGAAAAGGAGCTGATTAATGTGTTCAGGGAAGGTGAAAATGCCAGTCAACCCGGCTAATTTGTTACAAACAAGGGGGAGGGGGGGTGACATTGCTTGCTTTCAGCACCAAGGACAGGGATAGCTTCAGTTTCAACAACCTGTTTATTCCATTACAACAATCAATACACAGGCTGCAATATACGAAAGCAATTAATCTTTTTTTTCACAGTACAATGTAAACTAAGAATATATCTTTTATCAAGTGCTGTGGGAAGCTGCTCAGAATGATGTTACAAAATGTCCCTGTTTAGTTTAATATGAAAACTGAAATTGCTGTACCTTCAATTCATGACTACAAAGAACATTGAAGCTAAACAGGGAAGATTCTAACAATGTAGATACAGGACCTTTAGTAAGAGTGTCATCATTATCATCAGTTGACTAGGAATAAAGAATGTGCAAGATTAAAGACTGTGTAAGAATGCTTTGGTTGTAATATTTGAATCATACCATCCAATGATATTGAAGTTCAGGACATGTACAGGAGTCCAATGACTTTATTTGTATATTATGAATCGTTACAGGTCCACTATGACTTTGGTCTGCGTAACATCCTGTCCTGCCTGCGTACCCTGGGTGCCGCCAAGAGAACCAGTCCTGGGGACACAGAGAGCACCATCGTCATGAGGGTCCTCAGGGACATGAACCTCTCCAAACTGGTACGTCATCATTCTTTACTCTCATGCACAAGCCAAAGATCTGTTCTGTATACCATTTGGTAGTTTCTTTTTACTTGATAATCATGATGAACACTCAGTTAATTATCTGCACGCTCCTCTCTTAGTAGTTTGTAAAATGAAAGACATACACTGAGCTGGGCTGGTAATTTTATTGAGTGAGAGAAAAAAACAGAGCTCAAGTCACCCCTGGTACGTCAGCGTTATTCACTCTCACCAGCCAAGGATCTGTTCTGTATACCATTTGGTACTCGGTAGTTTCTTTTTACTTGATAATGATGATGAACAGTTTAGTCAGGATAAAATTACTCACAGCCTATTGGCCAAATTCTGTATTCATGACAGTTGTTTCAAAAAGTTTTCATTGTAAAACTTTACATTATCATGTTCATGTATCAAGTGAATACTATATATATTGATATCACTTAGAATTTTGACTAGGCATATATAAAATGTAAATTGTAATACAAGTATAATAATGTTTTTTGTTGTTTGGTTTGGTTTTCCTTTAATGCCCACAATCATGATAATGATCATTCTGGCATACTCATTTTCACCTGATTGAAGTGAAGAAAGTCGTATTAAGTGCCTTTCCAAAGGGGCACAAGGTCGGTGTGATTTGGCAGGATTCGAACTCGGAACCTCTTGGTTCTGAGCCGAATGCTCTACCGTTACGCCACATGACCCTTGTTGATGTTCTATTGTTTATAAATTTTGTATGTTGTTTGTTTGTAGGTTGACGAAGACGAGCCCCTGTTCCTGAGCCTGATAAATGACTTGTTCCCGGGGATTACCCTGGACAAGGCAGGCTACCCCGAGCTGGAGAAGGCCATCGCTGACGAGGTGGAGTCAGCTGGTCTCATCAACCACCCTGCCTGGAAACTCAAACTGGTCCAGGTAAGACAGAGAAGGGCCTTGGATGGTAGATGTAGCACGTCAGCAGAACATACTGCGCCTGCACAAAACCCTGATTTTTCACAGTTTTTGTTGGATGTATGTATCGTCAATGTTGCATCAGAATTTAGCCTGTTGCAGACAACATTTTTTCTGACACAACATTTGGAAACTACAGACAGGATGTTAACCTTATGTATGCGAATACGATCTTATATGAAACGTTCTGCTGAAGTGCTATGCACAATATGTGTACATTACATGTATATGGGTTTTGCGCAGGTGCAGTATGTTCTGCTGACATGCTGGTGATGTAAACCACAACTTGAAACTGCCGTGTTTGCCTGTTGGAAGAAATTCCCTTAGGCTATATCAAATCATTGTACAGTTTTTCAGGATGGTCAACAGAATGGTACTGACAGCCACTACTGTGGCAAAAACATTTTCAATTTGTTTGATTGTGGCCTTCCTTTTCCATTCATCAGCTGTAACTAGAGAAATTCAAAAACACAATCTGACAGACATGTTGCTAACCCGCCACCTTTTACCCAGTACTAACTAGTTCCCCCTCCCATAGCTGTTTGAGACCCAGCGTGTGCGACACGGGATGATGGCCCTGGGCCCGACCGGTGCAGGGAAGACCACGTGTATCCACACCCTGATGAAGGCCATGACGGTCTGCGGGGAGCCACACAGGGAGATGAGGATGAACCCCAAGGCCATCACGGCACCGCAGATGTTCGGTCGACTGGACGTGGCCACCAATGACTGGACAGATGGGATCTTCTCCACACTGTGGAGGAGGACTCACAGGGCCAAGAAAGGTGACACGCCTCACTAAATCCTTTGGTGAATTTTCTTTCATTCTTCCTCACAGTCTGTACTTTTTATCATCATCATCCTCATTGTTGTGACTCCCATCTGTCGACAGACAATGCAGACCTTTTTGATTGCTTTGCACACCTTTCTGTCCAGCATTTGCCTTCTTGCTCCCTCCCATCTTCTCTAGATCTTTCTGTAGTTTGAAGGTGCTGGGCTTGTTACCTCTGTTTTCATGGCAGTCTCTGTACTTCTTAGTTTTACTTCCAGGTTCAGGTCCGGACCTGTACCTGTTCCTGTACCTAAAATTTGTTTTGGTACACAGCTCTACAGGGACACCAGCAGCAGAATAATCAAATCCTGGATAGTGAGTGAGTGGTCCTAATAACCATTTTGTTGCTATTTGAAGGTGAACACATCTGGTTGGTACTGGATGGCCCTGTGGATGCCATCTGGATCGAGAACCTCAACTCTGTCCTGGACGACAACAAGACCTTGACCTTGGCAAACGGGGACCGTATCCCCATGGCGACCAACTGTAAGATCATCTTTGAGCCCGACAACATTGACAACGCCTCGCCAGCCACGGTGTCCAGGAACGGCATGGTGTTCATGAGCTCTTCTGTGCTGGATTGGAAGCCTATTCTACAGGTTTGTTTGTTTGTTTGTTTGTTTATTTCTTTAGAATCTCCATTAGTGATACAAAATTGTATACTAATCTTTCTGGAGTTTTTGTTTCATTAGTGCACACTGACAGCATGTCCAGCTGCTAATGCTGTAAAGTTAATAAGAAAACAGATTGAAATATGTCGCAAATTGAGATATTTTACATAATGATTACAATTAAAATAAAGCATGGTATTTAGTCCTAACCATAATTGTTTTCTTCAAAACGTCAAAAATAAATGTATTCTACCCAATAAATTGAATGTATTCTACGTGTAGTGAAGTAATGTATAACTTTCTATGTCCCTGTCAGGCCTGGCTGCGCACCAGGAACCCTGCAGAAGCCGCCACCATCGAGGCCTTGTTTGACGGCTCTTTCCCTCAACTCTACCGCTTTGCCATCCAGAACCTGGTCTTTAAGATGAAAGTCCTGGAGTGTATGATCATCTCACAGGTCAGAATGACTTCTTTTCATCTAAAACATTTAGTATGCATATGTTATTGGTAATTTCGTCTTCAATACCTTTAGTGCCCTTGCCTTCATGTCCAGAAGCAAGTTAGACTACCCGCAGTAGAGGTTAAACTTTACATTTGAAGAAATTTCTTAACCTAAAACTGAGAAAGAATTTATCAGCTTATACAACAATATACATGGTTCATCATGCATCTGGACATGAACAAAACTATATTCTTGGAAAGCTTAGTGCTGTTTTATATATTATGCAGAATTTTCACAACGTTCAGGTTTGATTTGTGCAATAGTGCAGAAAGTTGCTGCAAGTTTGAGGAAAAGCACCTTTTGAAAGTTTATCCCAACATTTAACCTCAAGTAAGTTGATGCAAAGCCTTTTCCCAATTCAATCATGGGGGAAAAGTACATGTACTGTTTGTAACACTATTTTTCAAAAGTTTGAAAACTATAAATAGGATTAAACAGTCATTTACATTTTATATTTTCCAACAGTGTTGTATGTTGCTGTAAGTTGCAATGAAAAGTGAAAAGTTCAGAACTTTGGCTTTAGCCATACCATTTTTGTAACATTTAGACTCAATTTTCAACAGTGTTGCAAGTTGCTACAAGGCCTGATCCCCAAGCGTGAGGAGAAGGATGCCTCGCCTGTCCCGGTGGAACATCTGGAGAAACTCTACACCTTCACGCTCATGTGGAGCGTGGGCGCCATGTTGGAACTGGACGACAGGGTCAAGATGGCGGAATGGATCAAAACCAACCCCGACATCACCATCAACCTGCCGGATATCGATGAAGATTCAGAGGCGACCATCTTTGACTACTGTGTGGATAATGATGGTAGGAGATTTTGAAATTGAGACATTAATATGAGTTTTCAAATTGTAGTATGTATGTGTACAATGTATGATAAATACTAGACAAGTATCTTTCTAAGGAAAATAGGTGCTTGGATTAATATTTTGCACATTAACAATACTTGGTTAGGCATCATGAGCCAAATTTATAAGACGAGTCTTCTCTCCCCTCAAGTATACAAAGAGAGACCCTAATTTAGGGTTTTTCTAGAACCTCTTATTTAGGGTTTTTCTTATTGGATTTTTCCAGAAACCCTAATTTAGGGGTTTTCCAGTAACCATATTTAGGATTTTTCCAGTAACCCAGATTTAGGATTTTGCAGAACCCCTACTTGACGGTTTTCCAGAAACCCTACAAATTTCTGCAAGAGAATTAGAATGACGGAATGAGTGTTGCTTCCAGGTAACTGGCAGCACTGGGAGAGTCGTGTAGAGGAGTACCACTACCCTGCAGACAGTACCCCTGAGTACGGCAGCATCCTGGTACCGAACGTGGACAACGTCAGGACTGACTTCCTCATACACACCATCGCTAAACAGACTAAGGTACCAGCAACTACTGTAGTAGTTAAGGCACTCGATGCATGCATTTTCAGTAATCTTGCTATTACGTGTATGAATTTAGAATTTGTGATAATGGCACAGTCTACTACATGTGTACATAGCCAATGCAAAACAAGTAATATTTAGTCCACATTGTGTATACTAAGCTGATTAAAGTACTCGAAACATTCGAAATGCCTTATAATATGTCAATGTCATGCCTTGTCATATATGTATCTAGATGAAACTTCTCCCTACTGCCTATTTATATTCATTAAATACAAATTTGGTGCTAAAGGCTACATCAGAAGGCAACTTGAATAACCCCATACTATTCTGCGATGCCAATTTTCTTAGAAATTTAACTTTCCAATTTAATTATGCATGTTGATGTACGTGTACATGAAACTCCTTGTGTTGTTTACCAGGGAGTACTCCTGATTGGTGAGCAGGGCACGGCCAAAACCGTGATGATCAAGGGCTACATGTCCCATTATGACCCTGACTTCCACCTCAGCAAGTCTCTCAACTTCTCCTCAGCTACAACACCCATGCTGTTCCAGGTCAGGAGCAATAGTCCAGCAACAGAATATCTTTTTTTTCATGATGATGATGTTTATGCACTATTCACCAAAGGAGAACATATTGTTTTTGCTCTGTTTCCTCTTCTTCTTCTCCAAACCAGTAAGGTTAATGACCTGAACCAGAGGTCTGTCACTGTGGTAATTGGTTTAAATTTTAGGTTACATCATGTTGCAATTTTATAGCAGGAGGGATTTAGAGTCCAGTCTGACTAATATAATAATATATGAAATGTGTTTATGTAAGAATTAACAGCAGACCATATGCGAAGGTAAACATTATGCATTTGCTTTGGAAATGTTACCTTCTAGTTAGCTTGTTATTCCACAAATGGTATTAGAAACTCTTGGATAATGTTCAGTATGAACTTCTATGAAGCTTCAGTTGGGCAATTGGAAACCTTAACAAACTTAGACAATTATTATTACAAAATCAATTTATAACATGTAGGTATAAAAAATCACCTTTTTATCAGGCAGTAGCGTTTTGCTATGAAAGGAGAGCTAATAAATGCTTGCTGTTGTTATTCTAGAGTTTTGGATGTTTTAACCATATACATGTAGTGGAGATTAATTGCAGCTTCTACAATTATAACTAACATTTCTTCATTTCTCCTCAGCGATCCATTGAGAGCTATGTAGACAAACGTATGGGCAGCACGTATGGACCTCCTGCAGGGAAGAAGATGACCGTGTTCGTTGATGACATCAACATGCCCATCATCAACGAATGGGGAGACCAGATCACTAACGAGATTGTCCGACAGCTCATGGAGACTAGAGGCTTCTACAATCTGGACAAGCCAGGTGGGTATCTGGTGAGATCTGTGTGGAGAGGAAAGTTTGAAACAGGAAGCGAAGACTTTTTAGTACACTTGTGCCAAACCATGTACATGTACTATGCTAAGCCTTACAACTTTTTTCTATGCCGACTTACTCCTCTTGTCTATCAAATGAATTTTAATTATGCCATTAAGAAAAACACAAACAACTTGATGAGAAACACAGCTAGTCTACTAGTTGAATGTCTTGTTTTCATAATTCTCCTTCTGACAATATGGCTGAATTCTTACAAGTAGCTACAAATGTTCAACTACAACATATACTGTAAACTTTTAAGATACATTATACAAATGTCATGTACAGTAATTATTGTGTATATTAAGGTGTAATATATGTTTGGTAAAGCCTTGCTGGATGTTTCCTCTTTGGTGAATTTTGCTTGTTGATAATCCAGTAGTTCCCAGTGTGTTTGATATTCGCATTGTAACTGTTACAATGTATGTAGTTTTTAGCTTAGTAATACACATATTCAACCAACATGATGTTTCTCACCCCAGGTGACTTCACCAACATCGCTGATGTGCAGTTCTGTGCCGCCATGATCCAGCCAGGAGGAGGCAGGAACGACATCCCCAATCGCCTGAAGAGACAGTTCACCATCTTCAACTGCTCCCTGCCAACCAACCCATCCATTGATAAAATCTTTGGTTAGTGTTGTTTTTTTTATCAGATTCTTTAGTTATCATGTAATAATGTAGTTTTACTGAGGCTGTATCAAGACTATCTGGAAAGGGGTGTGATCTTTTGTCATTGAAACTAGAAATATCATAGACAGTGTAAAACTTCATGTATGCATAGATTTGATTTTATATTGGAAGTTCATCTGTGTTCTGTGAAACAAATTCATTATGAAACAAATTTGAGCTGCAATTTGCAACATAAGAAATTTTGACTTTAAGGTCATATTGAAGGGTGCCTGAGGACTTTTTGGAAATACTAATATAGAAAAAAAACTCTATCTGACATGGTAGACTTTTTGGTCTATTTTTATAATCTATAACAAATTTTTTGCCAGGGCCACATTTTGACCGCGAAATTGAACGACAAAGTTCGAAATTTTTACGCGCCATCTACCATCTGGGCTCCCAAATATGGAGTGCCCTTCCAAATATGGAGTGCTCTTCCAAATAATGTGAACACACCCCGGCCCCACTGAAGCGAAAGCACGATTCCGCTGGGCCACTTGAAGCAAGGAATGTGAACTGTCACAGTGTGTGTGAGCTTCACTTTGCCATTGGGAAAGGAAAAGACAATTTTCCTGATACTTAGAGCGTTTGTAAATACAGTACATCATGTTATTTGTAGACCGCTAAGTAACCAAAATCTGCCAACTGCAAAGAATTTACGAAAACCTGCCATGCCGGCTAATCAAGTCGGAACACATATTCAACTGGAAATATACCACAGAAATCACCAAGAAAAAGGCATGGATTACGCCAACAACTTCCTATGAAAAAACATTTGACTGCCAAAAGGAACGTTTGAGTTTGTTTCGACTGCAAAATCTTTGTAAATATACTACCGGTAGTAACTGTTATATGCAGTTGTAGGAAGAAGATACTAGTACTTGAACAAACATGACACAAGAACTGATTTCCAATCTGCAACGTTCTTTTTTTATTTAAAGAAATACAATACAAACAAACTTCAAGCTATCTTAGAGCGGAATGCATACACAATCTTACTGTAACGACGAACATATCTTTACGGTTTACAGCGGTGGCAGCTTATAACGGATCGTCCATATAAATTTGCAGATAAAACTCTGTACGTAAAAAAAATCATATACTGTAAGCACACGTCTACTAGGACAACATTCAACAGAAATTCACATAATCAACAAAATTATATTCGCTAGTAATCTCATACCACGTACGGGCAGGCTTTTCTCCAGGGCTATCTACTCCGGTAACTCCATGTTTTCAGTCTTTTTTCCGAGTATGTAGTTTCCGTAACATAACAAAGAACTTTGGGGGTAGGCATCAAAAACAAGTCCGTAACTCCAGATAACGCGGACGGTTTTTCTCCAAAAGGGTCTCAGAATAGTCCATGAAAGTCCACCTGCAAAACTACGTAGGGTATAGCCGTTTAAACGATTGTCTAGCGGCCCAAATGTTGCCGCAAACCGCACAGCGTCCTTCGCGGCATCCACGTCGTCGTCCGCCATTTTGGTTTGGTCACGTGACTCCCCGACGCTTTAAGAATGGGGATGCTTGGCCTGTTCTTTTTACTGGACCTATCCCCGGCCGGTTTTCCTAAATCGCGGCTCAGAATGGTAAATACAGCGTGCTGAAGGGTCAATGACCCGCATTTTACCGGAAGTCATCGGAGCCTTTGGAATGCGGACCAGAACCTGGCGATTTCGGCTCTTTTTGGCTCCAAAATGGACATTTATGTAACCCATACAGCATATACAGCATTTTTAGATCAAAACTGTGGCAAAACTGCTAATGAAAAGGGACCAAAAATTGTTTTCTTTTAAACATAAGCTTCTAAACTAAAAACGTACGTCAGGCCGACAGGCTGCGCCGCTTTATGTGCTGGGGAGGGCCGCTGGCGTATGGCACTGTTAAAATTTACGAAAAAAATTCATTAAAAATCAACATTTAAAGATAGAAAAAAATCCTGACGTACGTTTTTTGCTATCACTATAGTGCGCCTCTCTACAAAATATGGTCAATGAAAACCAAAGCACTGGCCAGGAAAATTGATTTTTCTAAAAAGGGGGCGTGGCTCATAACTCCAGATTACGTAATCGTGACGTCATAAAAATTTGCATAAATTATTGTCTTGCAATAAGGTACTTACATGAAAAATTTCAATGACCAAAAGTAATTCTAACTAGTATTTTTAAGATGTCCCCAAAGTCCTCAGGCACCATTATACACTACCTTAATACCCAAATTTTACCCAATAGATTTGATTTGTACAACTCTACCAGCATTCACAATTACAGTCACTGTGGCTCCTACCAGAAAATCTATTCTTAGTATCTGATTGAAAAGAAAGTGTTTCTCTCTCCAACAGGTGTGATTGGTACTGGTCACTTCTGCGAGAAGCGACTTTTCCCGGCAGACGTGAGGTCCATGGTGGCGAAGATCGTCCCCGTCACGCGGCGAATCTGGCAGCTGACCAAGATCAAGATGCTGCCGACGCCTGCCAAGTTCCACTACGTGTTCAACCTGCGGGACCTGAGCAGGATCTGGCAGGGCATGCTCAACACCTGGTACGATGTGGTCAACAGTGTCCCGGTGAGTATGGCTTTTTATGTACATCTTGCAAGTTAGAACTTTCTTGACTTGACTTGACTAATATTGGGTGCCACTCTTCCTCTGCCACCCAAACCACCATGGCAGCCAAGAAACTACTGTCCTGTATATAGCATAACTTTCTAGGTACCCTCAAATCCTAACATCTCAGAGATGACAGGTTGTAACAGCACAGTATATTACTATAATAGGGTCTAC